TTTTGCGCGTTTGTCTTTTTGGCCCAATAAAACTCTTCGCCGAAAGATAAATAAGTTTTATTAAATTCACTCAACATTTAAAAAAATTGGCACAGTAAACATTAGAAATATGGCAATAATCAAATTGAGTGTGGACGACACGTTTCCAAAGTCTAAAACTAACTAATTGGTAATATAAAATGTATAATTAGTTAATAAATAATAACAATTTGCCGCCGAACAAAATCACGAATCAATGAGCTGCTTTATACATGTAAGATTGCTTTTCCGTAATTATTTCTAGGACATTAAAATGTTTATCCGTTTGGATGGGGGCCCTTTAAGCGGTTCCCTTGAATTTGCCTTGAAGCTTGGAAGACAACACTGTTTGAACAAAAACGTTTTCGGGGGCGGTTTCTTCAAACGTTTGCACGCAAATTCAAGGGACGCTTGACAGGTTTTTCCTTATCCTCTAGAAGAAATCCACAATAAACTATGTTGGAAACTCAACAACAAGCAACTGAGAATAAAAGGCAATGAAAGTAAAAGCCAGGTTTACGAACAACAACAACAACAAATAAATTTGTAAAGGGAAAACATGGTAACAAATCGTATATAAACGAACGAAAGTCTATGCAAGATATAAAAAGTTCATCTAAGAATATTGTACTACTGGTAGAAAACCCTCTCTAATTAAACTATATTAAGTATATAAAATTGTATATTTTTGGTTGAGGTGCCATTAGCATTGTCTACATTTATATACACAAAATGGGCTTTAGATTAGAGTTTTTCCGACGCAACTGACAAAAATCGCCACTTTTCCTTCAGAATAGACGGAGGGGCCCCGAAATTTCACTTTGCGTTTAACATTAAATACAATTTACACTGATGCCTTAATATACCGAAGGACGACAAGTGATAATGCTTAACGATTAGTTCTTTCACTGAAACAAAATAATTTATATCAATCAAGCGTCCGGTTGGTTCTACGGTTGGTATTTGGAAAAAGAGCACCAGTAGCTTCACCCAACCGCAACGTTATCAATGATTAAATGGACGGTTTTGTTAAATAGATTCATTTTTATCGTTAAAAGTGCTCTTTTTTCGAATTCCTCAGCCGATTGATTCACAATGAACAAGCCGCAATCTTCATGCAAAATTAACAACAGAAAAAACACGAGAAAATATATGAAAAAAAGCCCAAAAAGACAAACACAAAAAAACACGCACGACAATAATAAATGTAAACACATCAGCATGCTGTACTTACCACAAAACGGTTCGGCTTCACTCTGGGCGATTTCGGCGCTTCGCTGCTGGTGTCCCGCATTTGTTCGAATCGAGCCCTTAATCTGCCAAGAAGAATGATTTTGTTAGGCCACTGGGTGGGTAGTAGTATTAACACTTACACTCTAGTTGACTCGATTTGAGACTGTTCTTCTCCGAACTCCTCCACGATATTTACGGAGTTTTGCTGCTCTCGCTTGATCTCGTTGGCTTCCCATTTTTCGAATTTGGCACGCAGTTGTTTCGCTCGGGCCGCCTTTTGCGCCTGAAATCACATTTTTAGTTGGTGTGAACAGTTTAGAGGCGCACTGTTAAAAATG